TATCAATGAGCATGGTGATGAAAGGGTTGGAAGGTTTGTCTAAGTGTTCAGCCGTTGGTCAAACAACATGCATGTTAGTTTTTCATTTTCCCAAATTACACGTTTTGATAGGAAAAATAAAGACCAAGCTTACGGCTGTTGTCTGTCCCTTTGGTATGTGTCGCATATTCGACTTCATCAAGCATTGTCGGTGATTGATGAATACCTATTTGGCCTGTACAGCAGCCCGCGGCAGTCTACATATTTATCAAAGCGGTTTGCTGTTCTTCTAGAAAGGTTTGTGCCATTCTCTCACTCTCACACGGATGGAAGGCTCAGTGAACTTGCCACGGAGTTGAACCAAAGCCCACATGTTCATTGCAGAGCACTTCTAACAATTGCGCAACGAGCCCACTCTAATCCCGTCCTGTTTTTCGATAACTAACGTATTAATTATGTATTAATAAAGTCTTTACGGTAATTTTCTTTTTCAGATGCTCGTGTCTAATTTTATCGGATCTACATGCTGTGGGTTTGCAGCGCCGGAAATTGAACTTCGGAGAAGAGCAACGCTTGGGAAACGTCTATCGTTTTTGATTTGATTTAATTTGGACTCGCTGCATAACGCTGCGTCTGTTGAATAGGATCACAGACAAGCGATTGCAGCTGGAGACAATGGGACTTTCCCTGCCATACACCAAGCAAAAACTGAAAAAACATGGAGACTTGTGCTAGCAAATGCAGTTAACAAATACTGACGATTACCGGTAGCCTGTGAGCTTCTGATCTTTGTGAGCCTTAATCTCGACCCCTCCATAGATACATCCTGGGAAGTTATAACCAAGAGAGACCGACTTCACATCCACCTCGATTATCTTCCCTTGAGGTGCCTGAGCGTAGTCATATTCTTGCTCCAACAATAGTAATGCTTAATACAAACCTATCCTGATGATGAAATTGCAAAAATTAAACTGATCTCGGAGACCGGTTACAAAACCTAGCCTGCAGGCAAACGTGTAACGGAAATGCTGTGACTAACCAAAAAACGTTGAAAAAGGGCATTCGGCTACAAAAATATTATTTTGAATGCTTAATTCTACCTGGCAACCTTCATCGAGTGAAAGAAACTGATCTCCGCCGAGTCTTCCGATATCCGACCAACACCCGCCTTTATTGACCACGATAATCTTGTCCTGAGCTGCAAATAGTGATTACAAGAAGCAATTTGTTTGTTTCTTGACGTGAGACGAACCATCTTTCTCTTTTATAAAATCGACACAGGTGGATTCCTCTCAAACCTGCAAGCCCATTTTGAATAATTTTTTCACCGCATTGTCTGCAATTACTGCATTGAAACTAAATACGTGAATGAAAAAGAAATTCAGCAAAAAATTTTGTTCCTGCCATGAAATGGGAAACCCTATATGTTTTCGTAAAGCCANTCGACATAGAGCAGTTACTCTCATAAGTTGCTGATGACAAAGTACAAAAAATGTAAATACCATTCCGAATCGTCCTTCTCTCTTATTTACAACTAAATGAATTTACCCACCTACGATGCAAACAGCGTTTTGTTGGCAACAATTTTTTGTGGTGAGTGATTATTCATTTGGTTACGTAAGGTTATTCTGCGTGTACACCTGGTTAATCTGCGTGTGACCAGATGAATAATCACACATCACAAAAATTTTTGCCACTAAAACACTGTTTGCATCGCAGGTGGGCAAATTCATTTAGTTGCAAATAAAAGAGAACGATGGTTCGGAATGGTATTCACATTTTCAAAGCTTCTGTCATTAGCACTGTCAGTGGCAGTTATTCATTTGAATCGTCATTTCACTGCCTTTGTAGAATTAAGGCCTTTACGAACTACTGTGAGCACCTGGCGCTAGCATCCGTTCGGATAAAAACGCAAAACTACTGTGTTCTCAAACTGGAAACACCTGAAGCAATCCCGTTCCAAACGCTTTATCGCCTCGTCGTAGCAGCGAAGTGTTCCTAGGTGTCGGCTGCTAAGTACAACTGAGGGATTCGTCTCCTGACAGGGTTGCTCATTATGAAGAGTCCGGTGCTGCAGTTAGGAAGCCCAGATAAGAATAGACCAATATCAGAATCCACTACCGTTTTGGTATCAAAGCTGCATGATGGCAAATCTTCCTCCGATCCACGAAGGCGGCGACAGACCGTTCTGGTGACGACCTAGCGCAGGCTTTTGCCAGGTGGACCTTGGGACGCCGGGAGTGGTTTTTATAAATGCGTGCATTGATCAGAACCACATCAGTCAAACATTGCCGCAGAAACTGTAATAATAACAAAAATTACAGTAAGATATTTGGACAACCTGCGCTACAGGCCAGATTCGGACATGCGACCATTTCTTGCGGGATTCAGCTGTTACTCACCGTACAACCAAAACCCCTGCTTTGTCCTTCTCTCAGGCAATTTTTTACCTAACAATGCCATCAGCAAGAGTGAAATTGGTGAGAGGAAGGCAAAGCAAGGCTCTCAGTGGTGCCTTGGGCGATACTTGAATCTTCAGAAAAGGCAGTCGAGGGTTCGAATCTGGCCTGGAGTCCAAGTTTTGCAATTATTTCTGCATCTTTAATGTTTTGTGTCAGATACCACCGTGCCGTGAAAAATAATGAGTTGCAAATAAGAAGTTATGCATCGTAATAGTAATTTCAAATAATCGCGGATAATGTAATGTGTTTAAGGCGCTCAGAAATTGCGGTGAATTTTTCTGTTATCGAATTCATTCAGTTCAAAATATTTAGAGATGAAAACATATCAGCTGCTCACCGCAGTTGCCGTGGTGACGCACTGTGAGGTAATCGATTCCGTCACTAAAACAAGTGATTTCTTCCATAGACGTGAAGGTGACCAGGTGAATAAATAATACGAAGACAAATGAATCATTTACTGCAATAACAAGAACACTTCAAGATTGAAAATGGCTTTGGAGTTTCTACTTCTGGTCACAACTTTTTCGTTTTAAAGGAAACATTGACGAAGGAACTTGGATCGTCCGAGGAACAGCCGAACGCTGTAAGTGAAAGCCAGGTGCGGTTTCTAAACTCTCCACATTTCACACTGCAATTTTATTAACAACATTAACAGGAAATGAGAGCGAAGTCGAAGCACTACGACCCAAATTCAAATAAATTGTTTCTTGGGATAAATTCGGGAAATGGCACTGGCAATGATACCATCTTTACAAAGTAATTTATAATATATAGCAAGTTTTGGCGAATCCAAACTTCATGAGAGATTGTGTTAAGCGTACAAATTGGACAAACTGTCATGAAGAACGTGAGAGGAACTCGCGCAAAAAGGCAAGTAATTAAAGACTACGGAAATAAGAACACGACTTGGCAAAACGGTGTTTTCTACACTTTCAACACAACAGGTTAGTTTCTGATGAACTTATTTTTCCCTATTTGGTAAAATTTCCAAAGCTATTCTTAATCTCTACAAAATAACCAGTTTTCTAGGGTTAACATTTACCTATTCGGACCCTTTGATGGTGCTTGCCTTGAAGTCCTCGTCCGTGGTGGCTTCCTGATTTGGGCATGGTGGCCTGCGCAAATCTCAAACCGTGTTCTGAATGTTGTTCTTTGTGTTCATTGCTGCTTTCCTGTTTGCATTGAAAACCCAAGGTATACGTGCTAGATGATTTCTATAATCGGAGAACCATTTCGGTTGATTTGCTCGCCTTTGCAGGGTGAGTTTTACACCGATCGGATCCTCTTCCTATTCGTACGTACTCCGAACTTTTTTCTCCAGTTCGTCGGGCTCATTGATTGTTTTCTCTGTTTCGCTCATAGTCTTTGAAGACTGGCGGTATTAAAGGCGAAACGAGGATTCGATAGAAATGTTCCATTAGTATTTACCCCTTTTATCATCATAATCGAATTACTTCACTGCCAACTGTAGTGGGGCACTAAACGTTTTTATGATTTCGTGTCGCCTTGTGAAACCCTTTTTCATGGGTATAGATCTCTCCGCAAATCTTCTCTACGACTGTCACTTATTACTGGCCGTTTCAAAACTGTTGCAGTAGACTAAAGCTTCAATTTCCCTCTGTTCTCGAAGAACTCTTTTGTTGCAATTCAGATGCGATCTAGATCTTTTGCTTGAGTCACCGAGGCAGATTCGGAACAACATCTATGTTGTTCGACCACACGCTCCCAGTTTTCGTTTGAGTACTCTTCAATCTGCCAGTCACGTTCGAATAAGGATTCATTCAGAATGTTCTCGCCATACACAACTAGTGTTTTTCCTCGTGGTCGATGAACAGAATTCTTTTCCCGCTTGCCGATGAATCGAATCTTTTCGCGAAAAAGGCGGTGGTCAAAACCAGAACAGAATGACGAGAGTAGCCATGGGTCAAGTAAGAACCATCTTTTGTTTGTTAGAATATGGTCGATCCCAGCATGAGCTGCTCCTTTTGGAGACTCTTGTATCAGAGGCGGCTTCCTTCTTCTGAAGAAAAAAGTTTGCACGGAAGAGATGTGCTGCAGACAAGAGTCCTGCAAAACGGTTTCTATTCTCTTTTTTTTCTTTTGATCTAAAATTTCCGATCTTATGTTTGCTTTCGTTTGCCTTTTCTCTTTTAGCGTTGGAATCTCTACTAAAATATTTATAATATGCTTCATCACGGCTGATAAATTTCTTCAAATAATTGCAAAATGCATTTTTTCGCACCAGCTACATCGGTCTATGACTAAGAATTGATTATGCTTAGTCGTCTTGCAAAACAAGGACGGAGTTTGAGCATGGAACGAGAAGGACTCATACGAGTCCACGAAATGGACAATGCTCAGATGGACAACAAAGCTTACGTCACCGGCATTTCACGATGGGATCTCTTCTCTCCAAATGAAAAGGATTCGTCTGTTCAGTTGGTTTTGTGTCTTGTAAGGCCAATATGCAGAGTTTGACATGGTATTCGGCTAGGGTCGCGTGAGGCGATGTGGGTCGCTAGCGCACTTCAACACACATGGGATCGATCTCTGCGTCCTTGTCCACCAAGCCTTCCATCCTTGCGAGGTCGGCAAATTGGTACAGCACATGTTTGGGAGAATAGTAGCACAAGCTCAATACCTCGGCTACCGCGGTTTATTGTAAGGAACACATATGCATTAATGCACCTGCAAACGATGCCTAATAAAGTCGAATGCATGGCGCATCCCTCAGGGATTGATCAACGCCTAGGGCTTTACCTTTTGTTTTATGCGCAGTCAAAAAGAGCGCAAAGATCCACGTTCGAAAAAAGTGTTCTAGCATTATAAATGTAGAATAAGAAGCAATATTAATGGCATGCTGTGCGTGTGTGTTGGCCACATCCGGTTCCAGTGACACGTTGAGTTTTTGCACCTCCTCAATGGTCGTCTCACCATTTGAGTTATTATGCTGCTGTAGAGTCGTCACTAAGATATTTGCAATATTTGCAAAACTACGGCCCGCTAGTGTCTGACACTGCAGACACCTACGGTCCAGAGTCTTCTAAATATCCCAGCGTCAATATGATTGTATTTCACGTAATACCGCGCCGTGAAAGACTGTAGTAGGCAGCAAATAAGGGCTTAGATCGTCATGGAGATTTGGGCTAAAAATTATCTTATGAAAGTAACTGTTCTATTCCAGTTTTGCCCTTACCAGAACATTTAGAGTTTTCTATTTTATAGCAGGAACAAAAATTTTTGCTGAATCTCATATTCACTCACGTATTTAGTTTTAATGCAGCAATTGCAGACAACGCGGTGAAAAAATTTTTCAAAATGGGCTTGCAGGTTTGGAAGGAATACACCTGTGTCGACTTTATAGAAGATAAAAATGGTTTGTCCTACGTTAACAAGCAAATAATTTGCTTTTTGTAGTCACTATTTGCAGCTCAGGACAAGATTGTTGTGGTTAAAGAAGGTGGTTGTTGGTCGGATGTCGGAAGACTCGGAGGAGAGCAGTTTCTTTCACTCGATGAAGATTGCCAGGTGAAATAGAGCATTTAAAATAATATTTTTAGAAGCCGTATACAATTCTCCAATGTTTTACACGATCTAGGAAAAGAATTCTGTGCACGAGATTGGTCATGCCCTTGGACTGTTCCACACAATGAACCGGTTTGATCGCGACAGTTATATTTATGTCGCCGCGCTCAATGTAAAAGTGGGTCAATGTAAAAATAATGTAAGCTATTTTATTTTGGAGTACTCACGCCACACATTTAGCCGTCTTTCCTCGACGATTTCGCAAAAGTGGGTCCGGCATACGCGGAGGTGTATGGGCTCACTTACGACTACGGCAGTGTCATGCATTATGACGAGAAAGCGTACACCTAAGGCTCTTGAGATTTCCCATCAATTTCACTTGTATTGCAATTTTTAGTTATTCTGCTAACAACTTACCTACAATAATTGCAAGAAATCTCTTTTATCAAAAGACTATGGGGTCTCCATTTATTTCCTTTACCGATATATTTACGATCAACGAACGCTACGGATGCAATGGTCGGGCTTCTCAAAATCTTGCGTTAAAGCTCAGAATGATTAGAAAAACTATAGTTCTTTAGCGAGGTGTAACAAGTCGACATCTGCGAAGTGTTTGAATGAAGGATTTCCTCATCCTCGAAACTGTTCCATATGCATTTGCCCTGGAGGATACGGTGGTGCATTGTGTGATCGACGGGTAGGAAATAACACAGTATAAGTCCGATAAGAAAACTGACTTTATTCCAGCCACCAGGATGTGGAGAAGATCTCGAGGCAACGAGCAAGAAACGATCATTAGCCTACAGGCTAGGTTTTGGAACCGGTCTCAGAGATCAGTTCAATTTTTGCAATTACGTCATCAGGGTAGGATTGTATTAAGTATTACTATCGTTGGAGCAAGAATATGACTGCGTTCAGGCACCTCAAAAAAAGAGGATCGAGGTGATTATGAAGTCTATCTCTCCTGGCTATGACATCCCTGGATGTGTCTATGGAGGGGTTGAGATTAAGGCTCAGAAAGATCAGAAGCTGACAGGCTACCGGTAATCGTCAATATTTGCTAACTGTATTTGATAGCACAAATCGCCATACTTTTCCAGTTTTTGCTCGAGGTATGGCACCGGAAGTCCCATTGTCTCCAGCTCCAATCGCTTACCAGTCATCCTATTCAACAGACGAGGCGTTATGCAGGCGACCTTCACTTATCGTTACATCGATTAGTTATGAAAACTTTCCATTGTATTAATAAGCTCTCTACATCAAACTGTTTCGAATAGTTTGCTCAAAAAGAAAGGAACTGAAGATTCTTTCCAAAGGTGTGACGATGACAAGGAAAATAATTCGTGCGGTTGTTTTTGGTCTCGTTTAAAATTGCAGGGTTAAATATGCATCAATAGCGAATTACAAATAGGCTAATCACATAGTGAAAACGGACGACAAGTGAACGTAAAGTACTATAGAGTCGATCACACGAGAATGCAGCTGTTCCCTAAGAGGGCCGCTTACACGTTGAGCGGATGTGTTCGTGAGCAAAGCTAGTGGGCTGCACTCGCAGCTGCATTTGTTTTACAGATTAATATCACATAAGACAAAATCTTCAAAAACTTGTAAGCTACTATGAAACAGATTCACCTTATCACCTGTAGTCCCGTTGATCTTCGAGTGACTCGAGCGGGCGCCTGTAAATCTTCCATTTTTCCTTGTCGCGTGCAAGAGCAGCACAGTGGGTTCTGCTTGCTCAAGGGACATCGAGCATCATGTCCTTCTTCAATGCTCTTTGTGAAAAACTCTGTCCATCGGGTCGGTGGTCATCCTGCACTACGTTTGGCACCCTGAGGAATCCAGTCACTAACGGCTCTTGTCCATCGATTGTCATTCATCGGGGATTCGGATCCCATCCCTTACTTGTACCTGATACTCCTAGCGTTCTCCTTTCGACGACGCGTTCAATAACTCTGAGTGATCTTTTATCCTGTTTGCGCAGCGACCAGGTTACTAACGCATACCTTGGGCAGGAATACCGTCGAGTCGAAAAGGCGGCATGGAGCCGGGTGTTTTTGTTCTCTTCATTACATCTTCGACGCTCTTGAAAGCTCTCCACGCCGCTCGTTTCCTTCTGCCCAGCTCTGAAGCTGGGTCGTTGGTCGTATTGATTTTCCGACCTAGATAGACATAACTGGAGCATTCGGAGATATTTGTTCTGTTGAGCGTAAATAGGGCATGCGAAACCAATCCGTTCACCATGAACATCGTTTTTGTGAGGTTTAGTCCAAGACCAATCTTTCCACAGGCTTCGTCAAATTCGTCAAGAATGAGCTCCGCTTGGATGTTTGGTGTTATAAGGACGATATCATCAGCAAAGCGACGATAGTGCAACTGCCGACCGTCGCTTTTCACTCCCATATTATACCATTCCAATGTTCGCATGACGTTGTGGAGTGTGGAGGTAAATAATTTTGGCGAGATGGTATCCCCTTGCCTAACTCGTCTTTTGACGTCAATGTTAATGTCGTTGGAGAATGGTGATATCTTGGTTGTGAATTTTTTACACACCTCACAAAGAATCTTTGTGTACTGAGAAAGGACTCCTTAAGTATCAAGGGCTTCCAAGGCTGCTTCTATTCAGTTGAATCAAAGGCCTTTCGTAAATCGATGAAAGTGAGACAGAACGGTCTTTTGCACTTTCGCGTTACTTCAGTGAGCCGTGTTACCCTTTGGACGTGGCCCATCGTAATGAATCCTCTTCGAGACCCTGCTTGCTCACATAACTGTCCTTCGTTTAGTGTTCTATCAATCCTCTTTAGGATGACTCGAGAGAAGAGTTTGTAGACGATGAACAGTAGGCAGATTGGGCGATAGTTGGCGATGCTGTGCAGGTCACTCTTCTTAAACAACAGCACGGTCTTGCTGGTCTTCCACTGACTAGGGACCTTGTAATCAGACTGGTAACGTGTGAGGAGCCGAGCCAGTGTGTTTAAGAGGACTGGCGGAGAATCCTTCAAGTGTTCTAGACTTATGCTCTCCGGACCTGGAGCTGTTCGATTTTTTGCCGACTATATGGCATGTAGGATTTCGGAAGGGAGAACCGGTTGTGCAATATATCCATCCTCCTACATTTCATATGACGGAAGGTGGACATGGCTGTCGAAGAGATCCGAGTAGTATTCGTGAATGATTTTTTCCATTATCTTTCTGGATGCTGTAACCTGTAATCGGAGAGCAATCATTTTGCTGTTGTAAATGGCAAGGCTTCGGTGGGCTTTGCGAATGTTTTTCTCATTCTCTGCAGCTTCAACCATTACTGCTGCTGTTCTTTCTTTAGGATTTTCTTTTATCCCCTCTCTACATTGTTTTGCAAGTTTGGATTGTCCATGGATTGTCTTGGTGGCTATGATAAACTCAGATAACCGCTCACCCTGTTCGATCTATTCTAATCCGTGGGTCCCAATGCAACGTTCCTCAGACGTTGTTTTTGGGGCAATCTTGGCGTTGAAACCTCCAATAATGACCTTGAAAATGTTGTGGTCTTCTCTGTTGAACTTTCCAAGTCCATATAGAACGCTTCGACTTCTTCTTCGTCATAGCTTGATGTCGTGACGCAAACGGCGAAGATTGTCAAAGCCGGAATTGATCTAAGCCTTTTTAATCGTAAACGTCCGATTCGGGTTGTAAGCTGCTCGGATGAATCGATGTCCATGGACAAACTCGAGTTGACGAGAACGCCGTGAACAACACGCGAGTAGCCTCGCTCTTAACAGCATGTTGAGCACTTCTTGATCAGTTTAACGTGTATTTATATCCTAGATCTTTATTAATTCTTTGGTATTTTTCTCCGAAGTATGATGCTATTTTATACAAAATGAATCCACGCTCTAAGCAAGGCGAGATTGCCGAACTACCTTGTATCCTATTCGTGCCTAGTGGAGTACTTTGTCTAGCTTTTATTTTGCCATCTAGGTGTTCTTTTGTATGGATACACAAAAGCCTGCCTGTTTCGCCAATATATTCATCTCCCCGGTTATTACAAGAGATCAGGTGTATCGTACCTGAACTCATGCAATCACCGCCCCTCCCGTAAGGGCAATTCACGCACATTGTTGTCTCACATATACGGTCATACAAGCGGTTACGAAATAACTGACGACGTAGGGTAGCCGGTGGAATTTCAATTATCGCTGTCGATTCCTTTAGACCTGTCCTTTTTAATCATCGCTTTATAAGTACGCTTACTTCATCGGTAATAAAAGGCAACATAAATGAGACTTTCTTTTGACCAAGTGTTTCGCGTAGGCGCGTCGCTCTCCTTCTAAACTTATCTCGTTGTTTACTACTTTGCAGCCATTGGAGATGGCTAGCCAAGTCGCGCGATTCTTCCTTTATTTCCCTGGTAGTGCACGCAAAGGTGGCTGTTCGAAACATGTTTCTCAAAGCGCCCTTTTTGTGTGTGAAGGGTGGGAAGAAAGGAAATGAACGAGGATGTTCTTGTTACTTTGGTTTCCGGTACCACTTTGTCATGTAACCGCTTCTTGATAGGTTTATTTGAGCGTTTATAAACGAAAGCCATTTTTTTTCGGTTCCTACCTTGTGAGCTTTATGTACTCAGACTGCTCGGTGAATAATTCAAAGCAGTTGTCCAGGTTACAATATGAAGGCTGGCAATGGCAAGGTTTGGTGCCTGTCGCTGTCCCATTGGCAACCTCGTTATTTGGGCGAAATACTTCCCAGACCATCTGAAAATCGAGCAGTTTAATCACTCCTTTAATAGAGCCATTAGCTGCTGGATGTACAGGTTATGCATATTTATTCTTCCTTCATGTTCAACAAGAAGTTCGAAGATGGCTTGCATTGCGATGCCATTCGACACGTTGTTGTACAGTATGCATTAATTAGTCATATAGAATGGGGAAATGTGATATTGGAAAAACCAGGTTGGCAAAGAAGAGTTCAGGCGTCTACAACATGCTGGAAATTCGTATCAGACTGCCATCATCATTCATGTTTGGACAATTAGGAATGAAAACAGTTCTACCGCTCACCACAGGTCTCATAGTGAAGCGCTGTGAGGTAACCGATGTCGGCACTGAAAAACGGGATATTCCACTGCTCATCAAGTTGGTAAGGGATCAAAGGGCAAACAGAAATATTATGAAGATATAAGCCACCTGCCACCTTAACCCAAGACTGCAGTCAAAATTACAATGGCAACCTTTTATTTATTCCTTAGAATAATTCTCCATAAGACAGTAAAGCTAAACGGATGGAGCTCTCGGCGTCGATCAATCTCTGTAGGGTGCACTATGCGTTCGACTTTATTATGCATCGTTTGGAGGTGATTGAATGCATATCATGAATTCATGAATGCATATATATACTTGGTATGCAATATATATATATATATATAATGCGACTTGATAGGTTTATTTAAACGTTTTAACGGAAGCCAGCTTTCTCTTGGTTTTTCCCGGAAAAGCTCGACCCACTCAGGCTGCTTGTTCAATAATTCAAAGCATTTGTCCATCTCCCCTTAAGTATAGAAGATGACAAAGCAATCATCTATATATCTACAATTGGGATAACCAGAGATCGATAACCGGTTCTTCTATTTTAGAAATGAATGGAATAGCGAGAGTTGGTGCCAACCGCTGTCCCATTGCAATCATTCTAATTTGCTCGTATGCGCGTTATAACTCCATCTGGAAATCGAGCAGCTTAGGCACTCTTTTAGGAAAACCATAAGCTGCAGAATAGACAAGCTATGCATATGTATTTTTCCTTGATGTTCAACAAGAAATTCGATGATGGCTTGCATTGCGGAGTCGTTCGGTACGTTGACATAAAGCGTTAGGAGACGAGTTAGGTAGAACAGAAAAATTTTGGTGTTTGAGAGGAGAGCTGGAATGTGATTAAGGAGCTGGGTAAGTGTTCTGCCTAGACACCATGTTATTCTATCCGTTGGCCTATCTACACAGATGATAATGATTCTAACCTTGTAGGATAGTGGGTTGGTAGACCCGAGATCATCAGCTGATAGTAAATTATGTGTTTTGATAAGTGAGCATAAGACGAGACATGTTGATCAACCTGCTTCATAGTGCGAAATAAAATAACGGATGGTTTCAAGCCTGCTGCCTTTGCTATTGTAACCTATTCATTGTTAAGCTTCCGATATTGTCTTTTGTATTCCTTTTTGGACGATGGTCGGTAAAGGATAATAACAATAAGATGTTCGCCCTCGCCCATTTTCTTAACATCTAACTGTGCAGTGATAACTACGAACTTTTCCTCTTTATTACTAGCTGAGAGTCTAATAGTGTCCAAATTTATTAATCCTCTAGTTTCTCGCACACAACATTTTTTTGCGGCTGTGAGGTTGGAGATATGCTTTCGTGCGCGATTGTGGACAAAGGTTTTGAGAACACCGTCCGATTTGGGATTATGCTGTTTGAAGAATGCTTTGGGGAAAGAAGATGACGGTAATAGTGCCATTTCTTCGTTTTAATTTCTATTTAACATTTCTCTTTTGGCCTTATAGCGGAGTCGATGTTGAAGTTCGCACATGCTTCATGCGACGCTATCCGCGGTTAGTTTAGAAATTGACTGTGATAGTGAAAAACTTGGACCCAATTCTAGTAGTGAGCGTTCGTTCTCACGTAAGGTCATGTCTCCAAGTACGGTGACTCTAGATGTACTTGGTGCACTATTATTTGACTATTATCAGAAATGTCAAGACTTTGTTTGCAGCTGATCCTTGAAGCTGAGATGTGTGAATTGCTCAAAAAATTTTCGAATTTCCGTTGTAAGCTAATTTTTGTACAATCCTAATAAAATCGTATTTCAATAATGACTTGCCAACTATTCTCTTCTGAACGCGATCCTCCAAATACAAACCACGAAAATGTTCCTTCGTCGCACACTTCTTTTACGAAAAAAGGGGTGAGTTTTTCTGCAAGCTGTTGATGTTGATGTAATTCGCATAGAGTTTTTCGTCTTCGTTCAGGTGTTTTTGAAGCGTTTGGCTTAGTAAATTGCACATCAATGGGCCTTTCCAGGCTCTGAAGAGGGCGATGCTGCCGAAACGTCAGCTACTGCTGTATCCTATATGACAACCTCGCGACTGCTGAACAAGAAAATGACGCATTCCCTTATTACAATAAGCATGGTGTTTTCACTTTCTGTGATTGTCTTATAGTCTTGACGGGTATGGAAGAAGTAATTTCTGTCAGCGTCGACAATATTCACGGTGTGTTAGTATGACAGCTACCAATTAATCAATATAGAAAATTTTATTATTATATGTCGACATATTTATACAAATTGGGTCAACAGAAAAGATCTTGTACTTCTTGCACAACTACACCCAGCTACGCATCCAAATCCACAGAAGTTTAACGAGTTGGAATTGTCCACCCGAACCTGCGATCACTTTTGCATCAAGATATATGATGGTCTGCTCATTTTTCCTGTGTAATAAGAATCGCTTCAAGAAACTGGAAAAAGCCAACGTTTCACCGTAAGATCGGAAACTATTTCATGGCCAAACGCAGCGTAGTCATTTCCGTTGTTTATGGTCATGTTAAAACTACGAAATGATTGCCTATGCTATTTTCCTTTCAATTCCAAGACCTCAGACCTAAATAAACCAGTACCTAAACAAAAACAACAACGAAATAAAGATAAGTGAATGCATTAAAGATGAAAGAAACACAAAACATTGTTGTTATACCTTTTTATTTTCTGCCTACAATAATTTCGCGGCAGGGTACTAAGCGAAATACAACCACAACGTTGCTGAGATATTTGCCAAGCATTGGACCGCAGGTGTCTATGGTGGGGAACGAACGCGCTATTGTTCTTTCCGGGGAGTAACGCGTTCACCACCACACCATGCGGGTCCTTCGTTTCGCCTGCCTCTTAGCTATTTCTATTGATCTCTGCCACAGCTTTAACTAACTTTTCTACTACTTCGCCACTATTGGACAAACTGTTAAAAAAAAACAAAAAGGTATAACATTGTGATTTCAACTACAGCTATATAGTTGCAACTAGAACTATATATATATATATATATGTATGTATGTATGTATATCCTTCTGACAGTTCACCGCCTCATTATGGCTAGTAGGTGTTCCTGGGTGTCGGGCTGCGTTGTACAGTGGGTGGATCCAACTCCCCTGGAATGTCTCTCAAGCTGAGAAGTAGCCTGCCGTTTACATCAGGAAGCCTGGCTAAGAGTAAATCATCACCAGTATCCACACTGTCTTCGCATCAAACTTATCGCGTCGTAATTCTTCATATTTTTGTTGAGCAAACGCGGGGTGTTATTATTCTTTATTCACGAATAAGCTGACGTTTCGGCGGATTTCGCCTTCCTCAGAGCCTGGAAAGGTCAAGTTGATAGCAATCTATTGGGCAGACGCCTCCATAACCAAACAAAGAAACTCTAAACCAAGATTACAATCACATTGAACACAGCTTTGCACGCTAACCGCTTTCTATAAGGTTTCCACTAAGTATGTCACGTAAACACCAACCGCACCGAAATCACATGGAAGCATAATGGAGCCACAATTCCCACTGATTTTTGCGTTACCCGAGCGGTAACCAATAAATCTTTCTTTTTTTCTGTCGCACGCAAGAGTATCTCAATGGGCTTAGGTTCTTCAGAGTCTGTTTGAGTGTCATCCTTATCCTCAACGGTTTTCGTGAAAAACTCCGACATAACGTCGATAGTTTTTTTTTCTTTGCGTTTGACATCCCAAGGAATCGAGTCACCAAAGGCTTTTGCCCATCGTTTATCGTTCAAGAGTATTACGTGTTCGGTTTACTTAATCTTTGACAGTTTGAAATGTAGACCAGCATCATTCGTTTTTTGACCTTTAGCGTAGGTCGGAGCGCCAGATGTCTTCCACCGTTTACATGAAAGAGGTACTCCTAGCATAGTCCTTTTGACTGTGTCTTCAATAACACTGAGTGATCCTTCATTCTGCTTACGCTGGAACCAAGTTATACCTAAGGGCTTAAAGAATCATGGATTCTAAAAGGTATGCACGGTGTAGAATGTTCTTTGTTCTTTTTACTACATACTTGATTCCACTAAAAGCTCCTTAACGCGCTCGTTTTTTCCTACTCAACTCTAGAGCGAAGCCGAAAAAAAACTCTAGAGCAAAGCCGAAAGCAGAGCATCATGTTGATTTTCCGACCAAGATAGACTTAACCGGAAATATTCTCAGATGTTTATTCCGTTAATTATAAACCAGTCATAGTAACAAATCCTTTCCTCACGAAGATCGTTTCTGTGAGATTCAATCGGAGACCAATCCTTCGATATTCGTTGTCAAAATCGACAAGCATTTTTGCCGCTAGAATAACGTTTGGACTTGCAAGAATGATGTCGCTAGCAAAGCGAAGATAGTGTAGATGCACCGCATCGCTTTTCATCTCCGTGTTGTCCCATTACGATGTTGGCATGGTTCGCGGTAAATAATTTTGGCGAAGATAGTATCATCTTGTTTAACCCATCTTCAAACACCGAAGTTAATCTTAACTCTTTTATTTACTGCCTTTTTTTTCTTAATGGCAGGGTATGTTGTGAAATATAACTCGTATGAAGTGCTGAGATATTTGCAAAACTCCAGACCACAGGTGTATGCAGTGGGAAACGAACACGCGCTGTTGTCCTTACCGGGGAGCAGCGCACTTCACCACTACACCATCCGGGTCCTACCGAAGT